TGCCGCGGTTACTTGTTGGAGGATGTTGGTCCCTGGGCCGGCGCTCGCTCTGGGAGCCGGGCGAGGGGGGAGCTGGTTGGTGGCCCTGGGAGCGCTCGGAGCCCTTCAGGCGGGGGTCTGGGCTGCCAAGTGTTGCAGGGGTGGGTTTTTCGGGTTTAGCCCCTCGGGTTAGCAGTAATTGTTCGCAAGCGTGCTGCGCTCACATTGGCTACCGCGGGTTCCCATTTAGACCTGCCTTTATGTTGTTTGGGGGGAAAATGTTGTATTAGTGTTGCATGTGATAGTGTTAGAAGAGGGTTGTTAATCTATTATGCTTTTTTTTTTTTTTTGCTGTCGCATGTTGGACAAATCTGCATGTGGATGTATCTAGCGTGCTATAATCCAAAGTGTAAGTAGAATCGAGAGCAAACTGTGTCACAGCCTGGTTTTTATAGTCTTTTTTAATAACATTTTAAAATGAGTTTTCAGCACTGAAGAAGGGTTTCACTTTATGGGCAAGACAGAATGAGACAGTAAAAGAAGTGAGGCGTAGCTGTTTCTTACCCTGAGTCTAAGAAGAATTCAGATTACTCACACTAAGAGATTTGCACAAATTCTAGTTATCATAATTAAGCCTACAGTAGAAGATACACGTTGCTGGATTTTTGTGATCTCTGTGGAAAGCTGGATTAGGAAGGTGATAGGAAAAAAACCCAAATGAGTGGTCTATACTTTGTTTAGGGTGCATTGTCAGATAACATAATCTACAAAAGTGCATGGAGTTCTGTTTTTAATTGTATTAATTTTTAATATTGATGTTCTTTTTTCCTTAGCATGCAATTAGAGAAATCTTGTGTGCCTAATGCAAAATAGCGATGTATTGTGTTTTTTTTCTCCTACAGTGTCTGACACTACTAGCCTTTTTGCATTGAGGCATTAAATTTCATTTTTCTTGTCTTGTCTCCTACAAGGAGTATTGTACTTGAGACTTGCTTTTTTGTTTTGCTTGTTTGAATACTAAGCAGAAGATGTGATCAAAACAATCCTACAGTGCAGTATTACTTGTGAATGTTAGATTAGGAATATGTATTTATTGTTGAAATGAAAGCAACAAAAATTAAGTTCTGAAATTATTTTTCAATGGTTTTATTCAAACAACTTGCTATTTCAGAAGAAAGAGATGGCAATGGAAATATGCTTTCTTCCACAGTCTTCCATTTGTTCATTACAAATTATATTATCGACAGGCAGCTAATATTGTTTGTTTTCCAGTAGATAGTGTGGTGTTGAGAATTTGAGTATTTTGTAGAAAATCTATAATTTATAGCTTGCATTCCTCAATTAAAAAAAAAATAAATAAAAAAAAAGCCCCCAATGGTAAAGATAATATAAGGACTTATATCTTTTTTAAATCTTGGAAGGTCGGAAATGTAGTACTTGTAACTGCATGCTCGCTATTGCTAGGTCACTTTTTATTTTCCAGAACTGTGAATTGCTATCAAGATGAACTACTACCTTTCTCAGGACTAAAAATGGGTTTGACTAAATACCAGTAATTTTAAGGTGTGTGCAGTGTACTGGGTTAGGTTTGTTAGCAGTTTTCCAGAAACTATTTGTTAGAGATTTGGACAGGCAAATTACTCAAATCTGTTGCAGTGGTCCTCTGATTATATTTTATTTTTTTGTGTGTATAGAGAGGAATAAAGAAAGAAATCCAAGGAGACAGATACTGCTCATACTTTCTGCATTCTTCTCTGAAGCGTAATTCTGTCTATGCTTTTTTTCCCTTCCTTTAACTTGTATTAAATTTTTTGTTTTACATTTCTTCTCATGTTTTGGTATATTTTCTTTACGTCATAGTCTTACTTCTTTCATGCTACTTGCTTAAAGTCTGTCTGTGAAACTGTTTCAAACTAGCTGTACATTCCAGGTGAAGTGCTTTAGGTGTAGCTCTGCATATGACACACAAATACTGTTTGTGTTTTATATAGTTGAAGGTGCTGTCAGTTTGCTCCACTAGCCTTGGTTAATTTAAGTTTGTACATCTTTGTATCACCATTTTCACACATTTGCTTCTCCCCAGCGAATTTGACTAAGAAATGTAGTGCCACATCTTTTTAAATAGGAAGATACATTTGAAGTTTCAAGGTACTGTATTCTAGGCTTTTAAAAATCATTGATACAGTTGCATTTTTTGGATTCTTTGGGGAAAAATGGGACTTTAAACAGTAGTTCATAAAGAGTGGGTGCTAAGATAATATTAATGGAGCAATATAAACTTTGAATTAGCTAAAATGCAGCATACATTCAATTTTAAAAAACGTATACACATATATATTGACCAGATTGTTCAGTTTTGGTGAGCTAGACCACTCTATGTTATAACATTTACTACCTGAGTGAAAATAGCAACTACATTGGGTGTCCTGATTAGTGGTAGCCAATGCATTTACTGTATAAGTGTATAGATTCTGAAATTTCCCGACATACTCTAATTCTTCTTATTTCATAGATATGAAGAGAGTTAAGCAATAGCCAGTAAATACACGAGTGTGACATCTAAGGAGCTTTCATAGAAGTGGTGGAGTATTCTGTAATCCTGGCACCACTAGGTTGGAAGGGCTGCAGGAGCATTGGGGTTTGGGAGCCCAGTTAAGCTTTTAGTGGCAGTTTTCCCATGTACATTCCACCTAGTAATGGCTAGATAGGAATGACCCAGGAGCTTTTGTTAGACACTGCATTCCAAATTGAGCCTTTTAGTAATGGAAAGATGAGTCGTTTGGCAATGCAAGACCTGAATAATAAGGTCATTCACAACCTACTCTTTAGGCTAAAAGATACTATGTGATTGCCTTAATATGGTGCTTACTCTGGATGATAGGTAGTGTCTATGCAAGCCTGTTAAAGTTGGTACTATGTTTCTTTAATGACTTTTCTTTGAGGTTTTGTGCTGTATTACAACGTTAAGAGATTTCTGAAAGCTGTATTGGGAACCTCTATTTCTAGGAGATCATAGATCAGCAACAGATTATGATTAAATATTGTTGGGGAAATTGTACTTTCAGCCTGGCTATAATCTTATTTAGATTTCATAACTTTTTGAAGGAGTGCTTTAGAGGAAATAATATCTGAAACCAGGTTTATGGAAGCTCAGCAGCCTTAATTAGGGAACAGCCTCCACTGCTACTCTAGCGCATAAGTTAATCTCCTAAAATTTAATGTATGTATTATGAGAATCCTGTCAACGTGTCATTTCATGATATGAACTCTTCTCCAATATATAGAATTAAGTTTCCAAGAATATTATATTTATTTATTGTAAGTTTGTATCCAGGTTGCTGAAGCGAACTGTAGATTGGAAGAGCATGGATATGGGAGGCTTAGTCATGGTTTCTTTTCTATTCTTTATCTTGGCTCTCTAGAAGGGAACTGGGCACTGTCCCTCTGCAGCCATTGATTTTTGCATAAACATTTATATACTAAATTGTGCACCTGTCTTTGTTCATCTGCTGCTAAGTTTTTCTGTTCTTTTATTTCTTTCCCAACATCACTTCTTGTTATTCTTTAATCTACAACTCAAAACTTTGTGTATAAAATGGGATTTTGTCCTTTATTAAACATGCCCAACGCTCTCCTCTACCCCCTCCCCCTGGTTTATTAGGAAGTTTATACTGCCATTTGTGAAAGGTCTTTGTCCAGCCATGCATAGAATGGTCTGAAGGCTGCTCAGGACAAACATCTTAAATATCATTAAAGCTATGGCTAAATAGCATAGCATACTTGGTTCTTCATTTTGAAAGCATGGTTTTGGATAACTTATGTTACCAGGTCAAAAAATAACCTCTACAAGGCATAAATGTAGAAGGTGTCGTTGTTGCTTCTGGTTTAACTAACCATTCTTAGCAAAGATCCAGTGTGCCACAATTGTCTTGAAGAAATATGTTTGCAGCTAGGTGAGGTGTAATAGCTTTTTGTTACATGTCCAACTAAACAATTTTACATTATGTTGAAGCAGGATATAGATACATGTGCTCCCTGCAAATATCTGCCTTTGTGAAAGAGGCCATCATACTGACATATCCTTTAGCTTTTTGTTCATACTCTCTATCACCCCCTCTGATCTGTTAAATGAGCTGTTATTGTGAGGAATTTCTGAACACTTTCAACTGTGTAAGATTTAGGTCTCTTAATCTATCAAATTGAAACGTGTATAGGGAGGCTCACAGGGGCAGTTTAACTGGCAGAAGGAGGAAATGGTGACTGGAAGTGAGATCAGTGACTTCTTTAGTACAGCTGAATCTAGAAAAGGCTGTTGGGGTGCAGCTGGTGAGTGAAGTTTGAACTAATTCGAGTGCTTCTGCCAACAGCAGATTGACGAGTGTTCTCACAGTCCTTTTTGATGTCAGAACTTTGGGCATAAAAATCTCCTGCTGGTGGTGAGTAGCTGGGAGCAGTTGCATCATTGACCAGCATGCTGGATCCAGAAGATTTTTTCCATCTGCTTTCATATTCTAAGTGAGCTCAGAAGAAAATCAGTATGTTCTTGTGGAGATACAGTAGGAGTTTTGAGAGGCATTAGAAAAATGTTGACCTTTATAACTTTTGCTTTCATAAAATGTTTAGGTTTTGTGCCCAAATGATGCAGTAGCAAAATTAATAAATCTGTTTATGGGAACTTCTTGTCCATGTTACCACAGTGTGATTTAGAGCATTTCGACAAAAGGTACAGTAAAAAGCGTGTTTCCTTTAAAGCATTGTAAATCCCTCAATCTTTTGGATGAGGAGCTACATTTCAGGTTCAATGTGCTCTGTAGGTGTTTAAAGAGTAGAACTTGCTGCCAGGATTAGATTTTTTTCTCCCTTTCTTTTATAATCTATTGAATCTATTCCATAACTTAAAGCAAGAACCGGATCCTTGCCAATTTCTGTCTTCCCTTAGAAGTAGCTTGACTGGTTAGCAAAGCTACATAGAATGTCAGTACCTAACTCAAAATAAAACTTGGCTTGTCTTTTTGAGTTGATGCATTCTTATCCTTCTTATACTTAGGAAGCCAGATTATTCCTGAACAAGAATTTTTGCCTCATGGGTTTCCAAGGGAAAAAATTAGGGAAATTGACTAATTTTCTTGTGTTAATGACTCTTGCATATATTTCAACTGTAGTGAAATGGATAATTGGATACTTATAGTATCTGCTGATAGCAGTTCTGCTGTTAGAATTGACAATAAGAAGTCTTTGTTTTTTACTCACAATGAAAATTACAAATGATTAGTCTCCTAGTTTAGGTGTTGTGGCTTCTTTTTTGTTTTAAAGTGCATCAAAGTGATCTTTAATGTATTGCAAATAATCTCTAAAAAGAATTCCATGTGTATATGTTTTGGTGCATATTGCATTATTGTTATGGAAAAA